CAGGATTATAGCCTCAGAGGAATGCCAGAGATTTGGCCATGTGGGAAAGTCCAGGGTTTTTCCTTTCTGGGGCCCAGATTCCGACCCCATCAATTGCCATTGAGGGGAAGGTCTCCTAATTGACCGCTGAAATGGATCAATTCAGTCTTTGCTGCTGATTTAATAATTAAACAGAATCTCAGAGTTGGAAGGGACTTGAGAGGCCGTCATGCCCAACCCATGTTGAGTATAAATCCTCTTGACGGTATTCCCAACATGTCTCCTGGCCTTTGTTTGTGGATTATTGAGGAGCATCGCAGCCCTTCCCAAAGTAGTGCTGCCTACTCCACTTTCACATCTTCCAGATTGTTAGATAATGCCCTCATAGATGAGCTTAGTTTTACCTCTGAAAAAAATTTTTTTTAACCTCTGCAACTTTTTTTAAAATTCAATTTTATTTTTACTTTTAGTTCCAAATTCTCTTCTTCCTCTTCCATTCATTGAGATGGCCAGTGACAAATATGTGTAGTCATGTCAAACAAATTTCCATGTTGACCATATCCAAAGAAAAAGAAAAAAAAGGAAAATATGCTTCTACTTGCTCCGAGTGCTTCAGCTCTCTCTCCAGGGGTGGACAGCATGCTTCACCGTAAGTCCTCTGGAACTGTGGTGGGTCCTTGTGTTGATCAGACTTCCTTGGTCTTTCAAAATCGGTTTATGTTCACAGTGTGGTGATTACTGTATAAATTGTTCTCCTGGTTTTGCTCCATTCACTTTGTATCAGTCCGTGTAGGTCTTCCCAGTTTTCAGTGAAACCAACCCCCATTGTTACTTCTGCAACTTTCACTGATTGTTCCTAGTTTTGTCCTCTAGTGCTGATCAGAACAGGTCAGTTTTCTTTTCCGTAAGCCGGCACTTGAACGTTTTTAGTGGCTCTCAGATCCCCCCGAGTCTTCTTCAGACTAAACTTGCTCACTTCCTTCAGCCTTTTCCCATAGAGTTTTTCCAAACTCAGGGGCTTGGCTTCCTGGAGGGGTGGGGGACGGGGAAGAGGCTAAAAGCATCGGATCTTTTCTAGTGTAGCTCCTGCCTAAATAGGTGAATGAAGGAATGCTTCCTATGTGCCTAGCACTGTGCGGAGTGCTGGAGATGTTTGTAAATAGAACAGCTCTCCAGGAGCTCCCATTTTAAGAGGGGAAGAGAACATACATATAGGAGGTTTCAGGTACAAGTCAGATGGGAAGGCCCTGTAGCCCTTAGTGTGAAGTAGCCATGCAGATAGTAAGGTGTCTTAATGTCATTTCCATTAATAAAACCGCATTGGGTTCTGATGTTGAACAATTGGACAGTGTCAAGGACTTCGGTGGTGAGAACTGCCTTTTCAAGGTCTTCAGCAGGTGTGATATCTGCAGACGCAGTTGCCAGGTCACATCCCCACAAGGATGCTCCCTTGGACTATGATAGTAGGGGCCAGCTTTGGAAGCAGGGTTGGGGAATGCTGCTATTATTCATTCTTGGGTATACCCCTTAGTGGCAATGGGTCAGTAGTCAGTGGTGGTGGTGGTGGAGCGTCAGGTGGGACTCCTTTTCCATGAGGGTTGCTGGTGATCTGGGGGACATTACTCCTCCTGGGGCTCTTGGGTTCAGGATCCTGAGCTGTCTTCACTAGGGTCTGAGGAGAAGTTGTAGTCAAGGTAATTTGATTCTCCTGACACGTGCTGCCTCATGTCTTGCCCTCGGGCTTCTTAGATCCACTTTTCTCAATGAAAACAAAATTCACAATGAAGTTAACAAAAGAGACTAACGGTCAGTTCATTCCCATGTACAAGTTATGTACCAACAAGGTCAAATTGGAATTAGTTCCTTCATGGTACAATCTATTATTGTCACTGCAGTTGGTATGGAGGCATGATACAGACAAGCTGTGTTCACATGTTGCCTCCCTTACTTGAATGTGAATGTGTACATTCAGTTAATCTTTAATGGAAGTTAAAAAGAACCGTAATATCTGTTACAGTTTTCAAATGTCGTTCATTTTAGTAAGTACAATATAATAAGTTGATTTCCAAAAAACTGCAATTTTTTAAAAAATGGAAATAACTGGAGAAGGGTTATAGGTTACTGTTTGAAACTTAAAGTGAAAGATATCACTTAATGAATAAATATGTAACTGGTTTGAAAAGTCCATTGGAGAAACTGAAATGTTATAAGCAAATTGGATGTAGTTTAAATACAGAAACAGAAAATAGCCCACATCTAAAAATATAATCCACTACACTTACCATTAGGCTTCAAAAATACTGTTACTAATATAGAGAAATGACCACTGATTGCTTTGTTTGAATGTTTTAGCTGACAGTAGCAAAAAATCTAATACATTGAAATGACCTTTTGAAAGTATACACGCAAAATATATTGACTAGATGAGCTTTTCTAGAGAAATGTGGTGCTTTTCTTAGGCAAAACCAAACTTAAAAAAACAAAAACACCTTATCTGGGACATCTAAAAGATTGCTTGCTTTGTTTAAGGTTGTTTACAAAATTGCTAAATGCAAAAAAGCCCGTGCAGTAGAGATAAAGTTGGTGATGCCTGGAGCTATTGACTTGGCAAACCTGACAGAGAAATTTTGCATGATATCCCTTGCAGATGTTGTGGTGGGAAGGTGAGTATGTCATAAGACTTTTGCAATCAGCTAATTCAGGAAATAAAATCTTCCAGTTCTGCTTTGCAAGTGGTTAAAGCAATGAATATAAAGATGCTCATTTGATTACATATGTACAGTATGTTGAAACTGACTAGAGACTATTTGCCACTTTTTCACTGTTTACTGTGTTATTTTGATGGAAATGCCACATTGAGAAATTTTCAATATAATGCACATTCTTAATGAAAATGATGCAATGTGGGATAATTGTATTGGACAGTGGATTGAGTTTGGTTGGCCAGGTTGAAAAGCAGGTCTCTAGGTATAGTTAAAATGTGAAGCCTCATGCATTTTGGACACATTTCATGCTTCACAATCATTTGTGTCAAGTACTGTGAAGGAGAGGTTATATACATGTAATTAGTTATGTTTCATTATCATTTAGTAATGTGTCTGTAATTATTCAGTTTAACTACTACATATTTTGAAGCATTATTTGTTCTCCTTACCTCTCCCCATAGATTCTCTTGGTCTGGGCTTTGTTGTCTATATTTAGAAGCTCTAGATGATTTTCCTGTATTGCTTTCTTCATTGTGGTGGTTTGTTTTTTTTTAAATCATGTCTTTCTGAGAGACCTATAACCCTTAAATGATCTCTGTGCACACTAGAGAGTGTCAGTTGCTTTGACTTATATACAGGATGTCCCAGAGATCTGAGTGTGGGTCTAAGCTAGGATGCTTAGAATATAGAATCCATGTGTTCTTTTAAATTGTTTCCTTGAGGTTATCTTTGACCAAAGTATCCTCTGTTTTGGTGGTGTCATGTTCAATATCTATCAATCTCTCACCTTGTTAGAGGGATTCTCTAACATGAATTCCTAGAGAATTGGTGGGTTCCTTCTGCACATAGGTCTTTAGATATGTTCTAGATGGGATTCCATCACTTAGGAGATGGCTGGTGAGGTTCCTTCCAACTCTTAAATTCTCTGGTTGTTTTTTTCTAGTATGCTGATTATGTCTTAAAATTCTGCACTGAGCACTTTATTTTCTGCACTGGAAGCTCTAATTTTATCTTTTTATCCACTCTGAGATTTTTGTTGTTCCATGATTTTTGAGGAGTGGGGTTAACAGGATTCTATATTTTATCGCATCATGGATTCATCTTTCCTTTATATTATCATGTTTACTCATTACACTTTGATTTCTTTTTCAATTTTGCTGATTTTTCCTTCTCTGATGGTGTATCTGTGCACTAAACTTAAATTGAAGCTCTTTCTCTTGTTATCTTTGGTATTTGTGCCTTAGTTTTGTATTTCCATTTCTCTCCAATCCTCCCTCTTTATTGGTGCCCTTGATCACCCAAGCCTGGACTGCAAGATTGCCTCTGTCTCCTCTCTTTAAGAGACATGAGGTTTCCTGGCCTGGTGCTTGCTCTTAGTAACCTCCAGGGTACAGAGCTGGTCCTCTGGGTTTCCAAATGCCTTTCACTCCAGCCTTCAGCAGCAACTTGTGTTCACTGTTTTGGTCCATGCAGTTCCTCACTTAACTCTCCTCCTTTCTTTAATGGAACTGGGCAGAATCAGTCACACTGATCCGGTAGCTCCGGTCTCTTGAATGGAACAAAATGAGGCATTTGTCTGTTGACAGTTAGGGAACAGAAGGGAGTCACTTACAGGGCAGGGAAATGATATTACTTGAGAATGAAGCCTTGATTTCGTTAAGAGCGGTTCTCCTGTGCTTGTGTTAATCATGCTGCTGGTATGTGGTCAGCCTGAGCTTTTGTCCCCTGAATCAATTCATCTCAAGGACAGTTTTAATACTTTTGAAAGAAATACTAGCCTAACCTGCCTGGAATGGTACATGAGGATATTTCTCCCACCTAAGGTGGGGTGGGTGGTGGAGAGCTTTGGGTAAAGTTCCTGCAGTTGTGAGCAGTCCCCGCCTTAGGGCTGTCCTGCGACTTAGTTTGTGCTCACAGCTGGTGGTGCCTGTGGGGCAGGAGTAGAGAGGGTCACAGAGTAAATCTGATCTTACTGGTGCCCAACCCTATCTTCCTATGTAGTGGGTTTAGTCCTAATTATGCCAATTTAGTTCTTATCTCCACCCGGTTGATATTTAAAATTTAATCACCTGTTTGCAAATTTAGGGGGCTGTACAGATTGGCAGAGAGTGGTAAATCTGCCGTGTTGCTGGTCACAAATCCTAGTACTGGGTCTTAAAGGGCATTGAACTTGATATCATTATTATCTTTATTCTCCAGTGATTCAATTCAATTCAGTTCAACAAATATTTCTTTTAGGAGGTGGTTCTTGAACTGAGCCCTAAAAAAAAGTTAGGGATTCTCTTAAGAGGAAGAGGTGAAAAAGAAATACATTCCTGGCATAGGAAACAACCTGTGTAATGGTTTGACAGAAGGAGATAGTAAAAGTAGTTCAAAGAACAGCTTGTAGACCAGTTTGACTAAAATAGAGAGTAAATGAAGGGGGAATAATATGAAATGTCTGGAAAAATAGGGCTGATTTTGGACAGCTTTAAAGGACAGCATGAGTAGTTCGTATTTTTTCCTAATGGTGATTACTAGATTTTGACATCATCTAATAGGTTTATAACTATAAAGTCAACTTTTCTGTGATTAGTATTAGTATTAGTATTAGGCCTGAAATTTCAGTAGAAGCCACCATGTGAAGGATTGTGCTTCTCAGTCCCTAGTAGAAAGATTCCTCAAGCATGGATAATTGAGAAAAACAGAAATAACAGGCTTTTTTTTTTTCCTACAAAAATGTAATTCATTAACTCCTCCACAGAAGTCTTCCTCCTGTCCTTCATTGTGGTATAGAAGATTATGTTAGTGTGGAGTGTAAACTCTGGCAGCTTCTTCCAAGCTGGAAAGATTTCAAGTGTGGTTCCAACAACAGACAGTATGCACTTTGTGAAGACCAGGCTAGCTAAGTGTGAAGAGGCCTGTTGCCAGTAGGTTGGCCTGCTGCTAACTATTTGGGTATAGCAATCCCTGAAACAAAGAAAAAATATGGAATGGGCCTTAGTCCCGTGTGGTCTTCTGCTTCTGTACTGATGGTGGCAGAGGAAGACAATAGGAATGTCCCCAGTTCTTAGCCTGTTCGTAGACGTGAGCTTCACTGTGCTGTGAGATGATTGTCTCAACTTGATATACTATTGGGGGGATGGATATTGTCAATATTGTCATTGTCACTATAAATGAAATCAGAAGATACAAGGAAATTGCAGCTAAATGGAAGAATGGCTTATGGATTTACTAAAGAGAGACAAATAAAAACATTGTCAAAGGTTCATCAAGTGCCCAGAGGGGACATGTAATAATTATTTCATGGGAAATTTTGCCGTCTTGTCTTACAAAGCTTGTACCATCATCCCTTATGACAAAGAGAAAAAGAAGGGGAAAAAAAACAGTTCAGCAAAACCGGCTGACACATTGACCATTTCCGATAGCATAGGCAGAATTCCATACTCATTGTCTCCTACATCGCCAATAAAAGGAGAGAGTTGAATTTTCTCGTCTTTGGTTCAGGACCTACTTTAATCATTGCAATTATACAGCATCCAATTTCATTTCATTCTCTGTTTACATTTTTGTAGTTATATGGTGTTTTCCTGGTTCTGCTTGCTTTGCTTACTAGTTCATATAAGTTTTCCCATGTTTCTTTGAATTCTTCGTCCCCTGGCTGATCTCCAGCCTCCTCTAGGAAGAGGTGTGGAAACTTCTGCTCAATGATGAACATTGAGCTCCTGGTCATACCCTCCACATACCAGTGATTCTGAACCCTAATGGGTCATCATCCAAATCCCATTCCCCGTTAACCACCCAACTCCTTACTCCCTTCCCCTTCAACCTTAAGTTCCAGCTGAAAGCTACCCACCCCTTTCATTGTGCCTTCTGGCCTGTTCCACAGGCCACACACTTCCCTTCATCTTAAACCTCTCCTCTCCCATTCCTTCCGTCTTCTAGGAATCACCAACCTGGCTCCTCCCAGTGACAGCCTGGCTGGCCACCCCTCCTGCCTGCACCTGTACCCATTTTCCTCAGCTCAGTGATCAAGGCAGGAAGTGTTGGAATAGTCCTTGCTTCTTATTACCTCTTCCAGGTTCTCACTCCTACCTCCATTACTCATCAACCTCTCCTTCTAAGACAGCCGTAAAAGCTACATCTTTCGCTTAGTCAAAATCTGGGCATCTGTTGTCTACAGCCCCTTCCCACTATAATGAGTTCAGTGCTGATTGATTCTTATGGTACAATAGTTCCATTTCATTGATATTTCATAATTTTTTTAGCTGTCATCCGCAATCCACAAACTAGCATATTCAATATAGAAACAACCAGAAGCACTCTTTAGAAATGCCCACAATGCTCTCATATGAATTAATGCTTCTACTTAACATAGTTTTAGAACTCTTAGTAATAGCATAAAGCAGGAAAAAATGAACAAGAATCAGCAATTAAACTAATATGTCTGTTTGCAGATGGCATGATTGTATATCTGCGAAACCTAAGATAATCCAAAATATTGGAAGTAATCGGGACCCAGCTCACAACTTTTCTCTTTCCCAGTTCCTTCCCTCACGCTTGAGAGCCTCAGTGTGCATACTGACTCTTCCTTCAACACCCTGACCATTCACTTCTTCCTCCTGTGAACTGCTCTTCCACTGTACCTCAGCCACACACAAAGATGATCTCGTCATCATTGCAGACCACCTTCACGTTAAAGAATTCTGAAGTCCTCTTATCTGACCCTAATCTGTTGGCTTTCTACCTCTTCCTTAGCCTGCCCTTACCAAATCCTACTTTTCATCCACACCATGGCCTCCAACCCTTGACCCCTCAGTTATTTCCCTGGCTGTTACCCTTGCACTAGCCACCCTCTTTTCCCCTTGGTGAATGAGTTCAACTCTATACTGTCCTCTTCTTTTCAGACTTTGGCCCCCTTATCCTGCCTTCAACTGAGCCCTGCCAATCCTCAGCCTTGAATCACTTCTACCATCTGC